AGCAGATTTTATAAAAAAAAAAAAAAGAAGCAGTGAAGAACTACGAACAAGAAACACAACAGACACATAGTTTTACTCTCTCAAAAACTCTGCTCTACTCCATTCTTGAAGCTGTTTTCTGCCCGTACTCTAGTTCGCCGGATTCGTTAGTTTGGGTGCTCAAACGTCGAACCGTAGTACGCTTTTATCCTGGGAAGTATAGGTTACAACACTCCTAACACTTTTGGGAGGTGACAAATAAGGTTTTAAGGAAAAAGGGCACTTCGCCTGACTCGTACTTATCATATTTCTTCCTTCTCTTCTTTTGTGTGTTGGGATTATGCTTTAAGCACAAAACCGTTGTTCTATATATTCAGATATATAGTTGTTGGTTGGAATTATAATCGGAGGATTATAAGTTCCAATTTTTGGTTGATATATATTTGTATATCTTTTTCGTTGATATATATGTATATATAACCTTTGGGTCCGTTTTATACATATTTGTGTGTATATATATATATATATATTTCGGATATATATCCAATAATATTTTATATATATTCGTGTGTATATATAAATATTATTTTACGATATTAAATCGATTTGGTTCATTATTTCCAACAGTTATAAACTCATTAAATGACCTTGATTGAACTCAATGGATGCAAAATGGATTTTTAATCCTAAATTATTAGTAAAAATAAATAGTTAATTACGGAGTAATTAATTAATTGCGCTAGAACACTATAAAATGTTGAGAATTGAGGTTCCTAAACCGAACAGAACCAATTCCGAACTGAAATTGAACTTTTTCAAACTGAACCGAACTAAAATGTTAAACCGAATGATCTCATTTTTTAAAACCGAATAAAAACGAAACCAACCCGACATTGAAAAAAAAATACAGAACTGAATACCAAAACTCCCACCCCTACTATAAATTGAGGCATAAAAGAAAATTTGATAGATTTACTAGTCTGTCTCCAACTCAAATTTAAACACTTTGCCATCCATCCTTGTAGATGAAGTTATTTTTAAAATACTACACTATGGCGAAAGTGAGAATAAACATTTTGATCAATTTTTACTTGCTATTTTATGAAGATCACATTAAACAATAAATCTATAGAATTTTCTTCTCGATAAACGAATAGAAAACTCCACGATCTTCTCCACATTTTACAGTCATGGGATGTTAATGATTTAACAATCTTTAACCTCTTTCAAGATTAGAAAATTACTAATTATATTGATGAATATATGTATAGTTATTCAACTTAAACCTTTCAACCTTCGAATTAGTTTTGGTAGCTTAATCATTTAGAAACTACTAAATAATTAATTATTATTAATTTAGGAACCTTTGTAATCAACTCTATAAAAAGGAGTGTTATTTAGAATAACTAGTATTCCATCAATGTGATGCTCTGATCTAAAGTTATATAACATTATCATTTCTCAAGCTTAAAAAATAAGTTGCAATTATACAATTTATGAATTTTATTAGAGAAATATTAGTTAAGAGATTAAAAAAAAAAAAAAAAAAAAAAAAAAACATTTCTAGATGAATTTCACATTAATCCAAATAAACTACAAATTGTTAAACACTTCATGATAAATAACATGTAGTAGAATTACAATTTTCTTCAAAATCACTACATACTAATTAAAATTTTAAGTCTCTGTGGACTACTAACCCTAGACATACTACATATAGCTTACCATGCATAGTTAAACATCGATTTTTCTAAGAAAAGCCCAACATGTGACAAAGTTTGACCTTAACTTTTGTTTATAGTCATCGATCGGCTCATCGCATATGAGAGCATCACGGAAAACTATTTTCTCTGGAACTTAAATGGTAATCTTGGATTTGATGGTGTTAACTGTTAAGGACATTCTAGGTATTAAGATCTTTGTGGAAATGTGAGTACTAGACATGGTTTTTGCCTCAATAATATGATATGCTAATCGAATCACATCTAACCTGGTATCATTACACAAACCAAGGGAGTGATCAATGTTACAACATAACAAAACTAGGGACCCAACCTTTAAATCAATGAGTGATTCGGCACTCCAAAACATTTTAGTGCATTCAAAAATATTGCCCTATGCAAGTTTGACAATCATAGACGGAGGCAGTATGGGGGCAGTGGGGGCAGCTGCCCCCACTCCCCCACCTCACCCCTTTATATATATGTATGTATATATCGACATATATAGCATTAAATGTTATATAAAATTTATATTTATGTTTGATTTATTAATAGTTAGAGTAGTTTAGTTGTTTGAGCTTTAAATTTAATTTTTAAAAAAGTGTATGGTTATAGGTTCGAATCTCATTAAAAACATTTTTCCATCTTCACTTATTTATTTTATATCTTTCATTCCTTCTAAAGATAAATATTTTTTAGCCTACTTTTATGAATCATTTAATTAACAAATTAAATGCTCTTTTAGTCTACTTTTTATGAATCCTTTAATTAATGTAGTATACAAGTTTATATTATGCTTCATTTTATTCAAATTATTTTACATTTTTACCTCACTCAAGTATACTTTTTTGCTCTGATTCTAACTATCGTTTAATCTATCAAAAAATTTCTATTGTAATTTATAATATATTTTGTATTTTAACCTTATTATGATTGTTTGATATTTCGTAATTGAAATTGCTAACTGTCATTTAAACTTCGCCCCCGCTCAAGTATTTTTCTGGCTCCGTCCCTGTTGACAATGTATCAACATTAGAATCATCACAACTCAAATAGGCCATTCCTTCTAAAACATTAAACCCACCCATGTACTCATTTACACAATCACAATGTCAAGAAATGATGCGAAAATTGCTCGACCTTCAAACAAACTGAAGTCCACCATCCTATATCGAGAACCTGGGAAAGTGTTATCTACAATCATTGCAATAGAGTCATTCCCTGGACGAATTAGATTTTCGAGTAGACTGAACAATCACTTTTGAATATCTTTCATTGGGACAACAAATATTACCATCACCAACTGAAGCAACCCACTTGGAGAAGTTTTCCAAATTCAAAAAATCAACACGGGCTTCTACTTGTTTCAAACGCAATTCTTTTGTCAACTTTAGAACTACACAACTATTCTAAAGATAAGAAGACTTGCTCCAACGATATCTTGTCAAGTGCCTTTTGGTATGACGTGTAAGATTTTTTAAAACTCACCAGCTGAAACAACAATTTTTTTCCACCAAATGTCATCTCAGAGCTAAAAGGATTGATGAATCTCAATAGATCTCTCATGGTTTGATCTAACGCCTCAAAGAAATACTTATGTATCATTGGATCTTCATCCCAAATGATCAATTTCCACTTCATAATCAACTCAGCAAGTTCACTCCCCTACTTTATATTACATGTTGAATCTTCATTTAAAGAAATTAGAATGGAAAATCTAGAGTGGGCAGTCTTTCCCTTGGGAGGAAGTAGAGAAGATATCCCGCTACATGCCACAATAAGGACAACTTTACCCCTTGACTGTAGAGCGGAAGACAATTGTTCCACCATATCCATACACAAAGAATAATCCATGCTATTCGCAGTATTATCACCAATCACATTATTATCATAAATATGTCTTTGCTCATCAGTAAGTTGCTTAACCAATTTCTCATGCTCTATTGCCAACGCCACTCGATCATACAACATCTCTTCATACAACAACCTATTTTGAACTTGATGCAAGTTCTTACATTCCGGTACTGATCGACATTGATGGATAGCATTTCAATTTTTGGCTCCACGCACCTAACAAATATTCAATTTCCACCAAAGCCTAGTCTTTCTTTTGATCTGTTAGTACAATATCTGAAAAATATAAATTAATATTATTTACATATAAAACTCGATTAGAAAATAATCAAAACTAATAATATGTACTTATAACTTATTCCATTTAATTTAAACAAACAAAGTACCTTGATCACATTGTTGTTGCCGTAATTTGAATTGCGCATCATCTGATAAATGGTGCGAAACAGCGTTCCAGGCAAATTCTGGCCTTCCTAAACAATTTGAAGTCAATTGTGTGACAAACGAATTCCTGAGGGAATAAGTTGATGCCAAATTACATCTCGAAATGTATCATATTCAACACTATTTACTGTTTTAATATCTCCATAGCAGGTATTACCGCAAACTATATTCAAGAAACATCCAAAATAATATAACTCACCACTACCACGTGGTACATAGAACATTCGCCCAATAGCGAATCCCCTCTTTCTAGGAGGGTTACATCTCGAAATGTATCATATTCAACGCTATTTACTGTTTTAATATCTCCATAGCAGGTATCACCGCAAACTATATTCAAGAAACATAAAAAATAATATAACTCACCACTACCACGTGGTACATAGAACATTCGCCCAATAGCGAATCCCCTCTTTCTAGGATGCCATTCCCTCAATTTCTTCTTCTAAACAAACTTGTTCCACATTTCTACATACGTTAACACTCGTGCCTCTGCATACTTCTTATTTGCTTCAAACCATGCATGAAACATGCTCTGACCAATAGTCGTCCTATTCAAAAAATCAGGTATACCTTCATCATCGTCAAACACACAAGGTGGATGTTCAATCTTTCCATAATTGGAGTTCGGTACATAATTCATATCCATAAGGTACAGAATTGCATAATGCTAGCACTACAACAAATTAGATTTTTAGCGACATATATTTAGCGGCGGTTATATATAACCGCCGCTAAATAAATATTTTGCGACGGTTAGAAAAACTGCCACTAAATTTATACTGAAACTTACAAAACATTAATTTCTTTTTAATTTAATGTGTATTTTACCGGCGGTCTTTAAACCGCCGCTAAAACTCAACTAAATCAATTGTAATTAAAACAAAACTACGACCTACGACCTACGACCTTCGTCTCCTCTAGTCTTCCGTCTCCTCTCGCCCTTAAAACAAAACTAAAATCTAAAATCTCTAAATCAAATTTGAAATCCCCGGGGGAACTTCGTCTCCTCTAGTCCTCCCTGCTCCATCCTGGTGACCTCCGTGTCGGCGTCTCTTCCAACCACCACCGGACCACCGCTCCAGTCTCTTGTCTCCACCAGCCCCTCAAAGTGTGTTCTCCATCGCAACAGTCTCCAGTACTCCCTGAGTTCAGCAGTTCCTACGACCTCCGTCTCCACCGCCACTGACCTCAGAAAAAGGGGATTATTAAGGATTGATAATCGCTCAGTAAGGTTTGTAGACTCCTTTTAAAATCTCCGTAAGCAGAATAGTGGTGATACTCCCCTCTTTCTGGATTTGTGATTGCTGGATTAATTTTTGAATATTATGTGTTTTATGATACAATGTGATACTTCCCTATTTGTGATTACAGAGAATCGTATATGTTACTATTTATGATACAATGTTCTTTACAACCTCCAAATCTGAATTCTCTGTAAGCAAAGCTCCATATGTGTTTGAAATTTTGTAGTAAAATCAAAATGAGATTAATTTTTGAATTTTTTTTTTCCACCAGAAAGTAATTAGAAACCTAAAGTTTCTAAATGAAAATGTATAATTATATGAGTTTACATTTGCTATATTCCAAATTCTTGATAGCTAGCTAGGGTATGGACTGACAGATGTGGCTGTCTTTCTAGGTTGGCTATGAAACTGTTTTTCAATATAGTAGTTAAACACTTGTGAATCGTGCAAAGATAGATCCTGCATTTACAATTCTAGGTGCTGAATATATTTATGGTTTTTTTTTTTTTGGTCAATGTGCTTATTTTGGATCTTTCATCAAATATTTCATTTTTTTTCAATAGTTTTCTTTGAAGGCTTTCAAATTGTAGTTTTCACAATATATTCCTCTAGTAAACAGTGTGGCGAAAGTTGGAAGAACAAAATGCTGATTTTTTTCGATCCTACTACATAAGATTGAAGCTGAAGAAACAAATCTTGTTGTTCAATCATTATGATCATCTGAAATGATCACTGGGATGGTCTACTTTGAAATAGATTACTATATTTCAAATCATTTTTATACCTTTTCTCCTAATGTTAGTTGCTACCTAGTCTTTGACAAAATGATTTAGATCTCATACTATTATTTTGATTGCATTGCTTTTGGAGTTAGTATCATTGAGATGATTTATGATTAAGCTGTGGGTGTAGATAGTATATCGATTGCTGTATTTAAATGCAGAGGCATATTGCTTTACCAATTCACATCTCAAAGATTTAAAAAATGTATTCTCTTTATATGGCCTGGTAATCATGAATGGAGAAAAGCTGTTAAACATTTTATGGCCTTCATGAAGAACTTAGAAAGTAAATAACAGTTCATTGAAATTGTTTTCTGCAGCTAGGAGTTGTACTAGTTTGTGGAATATTGCTCCCTTCCCTACAATGAAAGCACAATTTCTACTCCCTAAGCTTCTTTAGTTCTGCTTGGCTGCTCAGATTTCCAATAGAACTAGCATTATAATATTTAATTTTTCATTTAATGTGTAGATATGCCAAGATCAAAAAGGTTCACGGATATGAGTCGGTCAATGTCTCATCAACAATCTTCTTCACCAACACACGAGCAATTGTTGAATGATGCACCACTTGAAGAACAAACCCAAGATAATGAAACACCTCAAGAGCAAGCTCAAGATAGTGAGACACGACAAGACCAAAATGAATCTTCATCTAAAAAGAAAACGAGGACTGCGTGGGAAGTTGATGTGATTAGTAAGTTTACATTATTATATTTATTGATTGACATGTACAAAAAGTCTAAATAAATCAATATATTAATTTAGTTTCATTTATTGACAGATGAAGAAGGATTTGTGAGGAAGAAAAAATTGAAGGTTAAAGAAGTTTGGACACTCCCATTGGGTGAAAAAATCATAGTCCCATTTGACAACTTTGATACACCATCCACCGACGCAACTGGATTATTTACTGGAACACTTGCAGGTTGGCACCGGAAAGTAGCACATTTCCAATCAATTTTACTGATTGGAGATTGATGCCAAAGCAATATAAAGAAGATACCTTTGCCAAAATAATCAAGGTAACAAAATAGATTCAATTATTTGCTATATTCAAAAAATAAATGTATAATGCTAACAATTACATTTACCATGATTTGAAGCTAAAATTTCACTTCCAAAATGATGAGATTGCAAAACATTGGACACTTCAAAATATTGGGAGGAAATGGAAGGACTTCAAATCTAGGCTGTGGATAGAATTCTATGATCATACGTTAAATCGGGATGAAATGATTAGTAAGTGTCCAATTGGAATTCATAGAGACCAGTGGTCAAGTTTTGTCAACTATCGTTTGTCAGAAAAATCTAAGGTAATGTTTCTGATATCTGTTTGCTTATTATTTTGGTCATATTTGCCTAATGTTTTAGTATTGTACTATATTATTAGGAAATGTGCAGAAAAAATGCTGAAAGTAGAAAACAACAAAAAATTGCACATACTTGTGGATCAAAGAGCTTTGCTAGGAGAAGGGCTGAGATGGTATTTGAATTTGTTTTTTTTTTTTTTTTTTTTTTTGCAATTAACTAAGTTGAATGTTTATTTCTTTTCTTAACTACTAACAATTTAATTTTCATACAAGGAAATTGAGCTCGGGCATAATGTTAATCACTCAGAACTATGGATTGATACCCACAAAGTAAAAAGAGGGTCATCTGTTAATGAAGAATGTAGAATTATCACAGTAAGTATGTTTTAATTTATTTTGAATAGGGTTAGATGTTACACTGCAGATTGATATTTGTTTAATGCAGGAAAAAATCAGAAATGAAATGGAGAAAGGCTCATCTTCTCAATCACAATGTATTTCACAAGATGACCCTCTTGGCAAAACTTTAGGAAAAGAGCACAACGGACGTGTTCGTGGGTTAGGTTTTGGACCATGCCCATCTAAGGTATTTAACAATACTTTAAGGATGAATGACAAAGATTATGTGTCCACTTTGGAGAAAGAGTTAGCTGCAACTAAAGCTCAATTGCAAGTTCAAAGTGATAAATTGCAAGTTCAAAGTGATATGCAAAAGGCCATGGGAGGGGCTCTTGTTGCTATTTTGGAAAGAACTTTTTGGCAAAGTTCCTGAAGAATTTGCTACCTTCCTTAACCAAACATCTCAACCAGTAAGTGCATACTTTTTTTTTTTTTTTCAAATACTGATTTATACATTAAGAAAAACGAATTGTATGCATTTCTATATTGTTGTGCAAACACCATTGATTTCATTTAACTATTTAGAGTCGAGTATTGAAATTTATACTATGAAATGTAGGTACCCGATGATGGAAGCAAGCAACAATCTTCACAAGGGAGTGGAAAGCAAAATTCATCCTCTAGTCATCATGTTAATGGACAATCTTCTACATGATATGCAACTGTAAGTAGTTTCATACAATCTTCTATATGAACTTTCTGCTTTGGAAGATTAAAGAATCTAAATTTGTAGCACCAAGTTAATGTTGAAGCTAGGAAATCCTTTACATTCTTAATCTATCCTGGGGTTCATTGTTAAGGATCTGCAGTTTCTGGGCAATGTAGGACTGCAGATTGGTCATTGGTTGTTGTTAAGGCAACTCTCTTCATTGTGACTTACCTTGTCTGCAACTGCTTATACACTCTCTATAGTCATCACTTACAAAAATGGAAAAAGACCGAGATGTCCAGTTGACTGTGAAGGCTGGAATTATATAACTAATAAAACGGCAAACAATTGCACATTTTCTATTTACATGGACTTCTTATTCTAGAGCGGTAGAAATCGGCTATGAAAATGTATTGGTAGATTTTCAGTAATGATATCCTAATTGGACACTGTCATATTTTATGTTTTTTTCTCGATAATGCTTGGGCTGATGTTTGTTGTTAAATGTGCAAGGTTGTAGAGGGACTCACAGTTGACGAGATACTTGAAAACTGGATGAAGATAAAACCTGTAATAGTGGAAGAATGGAATGAAAACAAAGATGCTTTAATTGATCTTTTTGGTAATGCCAGAACACCAGGGAAGGTGATAGGGACAAATTTAGCTCTCAAGTGATCTTATGTTATTTTGACTATTTGGACAAATTTAATGTTGTTGCTGTTTTTTCTCAGAACTATTGGCTTCTTTTTTGAGTAAGTGATAAACTCATTAAGATTGTGATGAAATTTGAACATTTTGAAGTCATTTATCCATAGCTTATTTTATTTTATTTTAATTGAAAAAAGATTTGTCATTTATCCACAAGATCTTTTATTTTATTTTATTGAAAAGAGATAAATCATTTGGTACTCCATGCAATTTTTAAAACTATTCAGACTTATTCAATAGACTTTTCAATTAATTAGATCTTCAAGTTGGAAACAGAAACATGTAATGCAGAAAGGTGATGTAATAGAGAAGTACAATTTTGTTAGGGCACATGTCCTAACACTAGTCTTCTCAAAAGTGTATAGTAGTGGAAAAGAATAACAAATTTAAGAAATGGTAATCTTATCAAGCTTCTATTTGATTGTGATGTAAAAATTCTCAGTAGAAGAACTATGAGTAAAAATACAAGTGTTGAGTCCGCAGAGACTTTAGAGGTTTCAGGTTTCAGGGGTAAGCAATTGAGGATTGGCTTCCTAGACGGGCTGACACTTTTGAGAAAATTGATAAGGTACACTATGATTAGGCTTTCTAATGTGTATATGCCTAATTTATTGTTTCTCTACTTTTTTTGTGTGTATATCATTAATATGCTTGATATTTTTGTGTTCTTAGATTGGTCAAGGAACGTATAGTAATGTATATAAAGCAAGGGGCACTATAACAGGGAAGATTATTGCTTTAAAGAAAGTGCGGTTTGACAATTTGCTGCATTACCCTGCCCTCTGTGATGCTTTCCCTCCCTGTCAATCTGCACATGAATCTCCAACCTATCTCCTCCTAACCAACATTAACTTCTAGTTTTACATAAATTCTAAGGAAGGGGCACTATAACTGAAATTTGTTTTTTATTTGATGTGTAGGTATGCTAGAGTAGAAGAACTCACTCGATTATGCAAATAATCTACTTTCTTCCAAATGGCAAGGTATGCATCAAATTACATACTTCGATTAGTCTAGTGCAGCCGTGCATGGTGGTTGTAAACTGATTATGTATGTGTGTTTCTTCATGATACAGGGTTTTATAGTTGGTTCTATATCTGGTATTTGCAGATTTTATGAACAGGATATGCAATTTTCATTCAAGGTTGTCTTGTTTTCTGTTCCTTTTTGACGTTTTGTTTCTGAACCTCTATGTTCTTTATACAGGAATCGAGCTTTCCTTAGATGCCGAGATACACATTGGTGGTAGAAAAAGATCAAACAGCAACATGATAACTGGCATTCAGGTTTTACTCCAATGCCTTGTTCCACTTTCTAACTTCATTTCATAACCTGCAAATTCTATAGTCATAACAGCAGACCACCATTTCCTTGCAGTTTTTGTTGAATGATTCTCAGAGTCATGATTACATCTGGGGATTCTAAGATCCGTATTCTCGATGGGCACGAGGTTGTCTGTAAATACAGAGGTAAGAAACTATCTGTTACGTCATCAAATGCACATAAATGTTCTGCTTTCAATAACATCAAACTTTTTTCCCTCGAATTGAACAGGTCTGTCAAAATTTGGAAATCAGATGTCAGCTGCATTTATACCTCAACTAGAAAACATGTATTATCTGTTGGGGAGGACTCTCGCATTTATCTCTGGAAATATAGTAGAAGAGCTCAGGTTGCTTGCTGCGGCCAAGAATGACAACATAGTGAAGGTAGTTTTTTTTTTTTTTTTTTTTTTTTTTTTTTTTTTTTTGTAATATATTCATCGTCTATCTTTTTTGGAGATATGATCGACGAAATGTGTTGTTTCATGGTTGAGCAGTTTATTCAGTTCAGCCTGGAACCAGCCATGACATTATGGTCGATCCAATCAAATTCATATTAAGATGTATGTATGTGTCTGCCTACATCATCATATAATTTGCCCATTTTTTGCGGTGACTTTAGCTTAGTAATCACTTGGTGAGTATATCAGACTGTTATACAGGGCAGTGAGTCAACATCATAAACTAATCCTTTCTCTTTACAATCCACAAATTAGTGAAAGAACTTGAGTCATGCCATTATCTAGCTTGACATGAAACATTGGATTTGTCTTCTGATTCATTTTCCCTGATATTTCAAGAATGTGGCTGAGTTCTAAAGCATTGCTACATAAGAAATTTACAAATTTACAAATTCGTTTAAATATGGTTGCAGGTCTTTATGTTGCAAGAGAAGTTGGAAGAGAAGGATATGAAAATTAGAAGGATAAAGAAAGAGCTGGAGCAAAGAGGTGTCAAGGAAGAGCCACATGAGGAACCCATCACTACAGTGGAGATGAATGAGCTCTCTTTTGATGATAAAATTGCCACCAATGAGCTTGGATGTTGAATTGATTTTCTTTTAATATGTAAACTTCTTTGAATATTGTTAAACATTAGCATTTGGCAATACAAATTACATTTGATTTTCATCTAAATTAAATGTGTATTTATTTGTGTTTGCAATGCACATATGAAAGTAGATGTTTACAACAAAAAAAGTAATTTAATGACAATTATAAATTTTAGTAGCAATCCCTATTAGATGAGAAAATACAAAAATAAATAAATAAATAAATAAACATTAGCGGCGGTTTTAAAACCGCCGCTAACATTTACCAAAAAATATTAAATACACATTTGCGGCGGTTTAAAAACCGCCGCTAAAATTTAAAGTAAATTTTAAAGAAAAATTAGCGGCGGTTTGAAAATCGCCGCTAAATGCATTTAAAACCGTAAATATTAAATAAATATTAGCGGCGGTTGTAAACCGCCGCTAAATAAGTTTTTCATGAATTCCCGCGGTTGTAGAAAACCGCCGCTAAATGCTTCGCGACACTCTATTTAGACACGGTTGAATAACCGCCGCTAAACACACTAGTGGCGGTTTGGAACCGCCGCTAAACTCAAAAAAAAAACCGCCGCTAAACGCCTGATTTGGTGTAGTGTAGCAGGGCCGGTTCTGAGCATGTCTAACATGTGCGACCGCACAGGGTCCCTAATTTTTGGGGGCCCCGTATTTAATATATATATATATATATATATATATATATATATATATATATATATATATATATATATATATATATATATGATGGGGTGAGAACCCCGGCCCAAGAAAAGAGGCCCAGAGAGAATGCATGGGCCGAGTCCAGGACTCGGCCCAGGTCCAAAGAGGGAGGCCCAGTTCAGAGACCGGAAGGACGGCCCAATACCAGGCGGGGACGAGGAGTCGGCCCAGGCCCGACCTAGGAGAGGACTCGGTCCGGAGAGCCGTTGAGGGAGCCTTCAGCACAGTTAAGACAAGGAGCCGTTGAGGCATTAAAGGCCGGGCTCGGTCCGCTAGTTATTAGCCAAAGAGAGCCGTTGGCAGAGTCTGTAATGTCGCCCAACGGCTCGGCGCATTGAATGTACCCTTTAAGTCGGCCATCATGAGCCTTTAAGACGGTAGAGGAGGAGCCACTATAAAAAGGGCTCCTCCACCATTGTATGGGACAGATTCCAGAATCCGGAGAGGGAATAGACAAAGTACTATTAAGCATCATATTTTACTACTAAAAACTCAAACCCTTTTATGAAAGGTGTATCCACCAGCTATAGGTTGTGTTGGACCTCCTTGGGCCCGAAAACCCAAAAACCATCACTGGCGCCGTCCGTGGGGATCGAAACGAAGAGTCACGTGTCCTCTTGAGTGAGGCGAGTCCGAGGGACAATAGTTGAATCAGGCAAACTCCAGATATGGCAGGAAGCGAGGAACAGTCGAGCCGTCAAGATAACGGACGGGAGGCCGACTTGAGAAACCAGCTGAATAGAAGAAATGCCCGAAGCCAAGAAAACGAGACGACACCGCCGCCGACGCCGCAGAGAAACCCGCAAGCACCTCAAGTGCTGCTCACCCCGGAGCAGTTGCGCGCAATCGGGCGCGCCTGTGCGGAAGCAAGTCTAGGAGTGAGAGAGCAGCCCATCACCCGCCAGCAGCAACGCGAGCTGCGACCGCCTCAGAGGCCAGACAACCGGCAATTGAGCCGACGGGCTGAAAGCCAGCCGGTGCAATCCGTTCATTCCCGGCTAGGACCCAGCGTCGGGCGTCGGTCGGCAAGAGAGCGATTAGGCTGGAGGGAGCCCAGTCGTGCCCCATTAGTCGTCCGCGACCGACAAGCTGCACGAGATAAGAGCCGAACAAAAAGGGCCAGGACCGAGACTCGCCGCGTGGAGCAACCCCCTCGCAACCCTGCCCAACCGGCTGAGTCTGAAGTCGGCGAAAGCACGGAATCCACGGGAAATCGCACCCGGGAAAGGGCCGAAGTGGCCAACCTAGTACAAGAGGTACGAAATCTAAGAGAACGGATGGAGGGAAAAGCCAAATCCCCGGGGCATACGTTGCTAACCGCCCTGCCCTTCTCGGACGAGGTCATGGCCTTCAAGATACCGGGCGACTTTAAGTTCCCGGAGCAAGCCACATTCGACGGATCAGGCGACCCGCGAGAACATCTATTAAGTTACCAAGCTAAGATGCAAGTCCTAGGAGTGCGAGATCCGGTCATGTGCCGTGCCTTCTTACCTACGCTGAAGGGGCCCGCCCAAAGATGGCTTGTAAGTCAGCCCCCAGGGTCGATCCACAGCTTTGAAGAACTGGCAGACCGCTTCATGAGCCACTATGCCGCTAACATCAAGCCACAGAAGGATCTGACGCACTTAGGCGACATCCATCAGGATGAAGGCGAATCCTTGAAAGCCTATCTTGCTCGCTGGCAGAAGGAGATCCAGTCGATAGAAGAGGTGGAGGACCAAACGGCGCTCACCTTCTTCATTGAATCTTTGCGATCCGGACAGCTGTATCGAGATCTAAGGGACAATCGCCCGGCGACATACGCGGAGGCTGTCCAGATGGCCAATAAGAGGGCCAACACAGAGCAGGCCATGAAGCATAAACGGCAGCGTGAGGTCGGTGGGTCCGCCAACGGAAAAAGGACGCGGGTGGAAACGAGAGAAAGGCGTTCGGATGCCGCTCGGCGACCCGAGGTCAGGCGACCGTATGACCGACCCGTCGTTCGCACCTATCGGCCGGTTCCAGAGCAACCAGTCCGCGAAGTACAGGCGGTCGCCCCGCCTCCGCCTCCGCCGATGGACGACCGAGCAGCGGACGAGGATACGGGTAAGACTTCTAAATATTGTCGCTATCACAAATCTTATACTCACAGCACAGAAGAATGTTACTATCTAAAGAAGATTATGGAGGGGATCATCCAGCAAGGGACACCGCCCCCTAACCAATGGAAGCGAAGGTCGACCGGTCGAGGGGGTGAGGACCCGTCGCCAGCTCGGAAAACAGTCAAGGCAAGCAGCCGGCTTCCGAAGAAGACGAAGCCCAATGGCGCCAGAAACCGGTCATTAACATGATAGTCGGCGGGCCGGAAGGCGGCGATTCCGCGAACACCCGAAAAGCCTGGGCTCGGCAGCTATACGTCGGAACAGTCTATGGTCGAGAAGAGAGCTCCAAAAAGACATGTCGGGAGCCCATCACGTTCACCGATAAAGACCTGCCTGCCGGGGAAACCCCGCATCGAGACGCGTTGGTCATCGCCATGGACATCAACGGTGTGGTCGTCCGCCGAATCCTGGTCGACACCGGGAGCAGCGTCAACGTACTGTACCTGGAGACCTTTACCAAGATGGGGTTGACCCGAGAACAGCTCAGGCCCGTGAATACCCCTCTCGCCGGTTTCACCGGGGACTCGGTGGAGGCGGAAGGGTCCATCACTCTTCCTGTGGAAATCGGCAGTTATCCGAACGTGCAACAGTTGAGCATGAAGTTCATCGTGGTCGATCTAGCCTGCTCACACAACGCCATACTCGGCCGCCCGGGTTTGGAAGATCTTGGGCTCTGATCTCGATCGAACATTTGTGCCTGAAATTCCGCACGCCGAACGGAATAGGAACGGCGCGTTGTGACCGCAAGGTCGCCCGCGACTGTTATCTGCAGGCGTGTAGAGGTATAGGCAAGCGTGGGATGCAGGTCCATGAGATCACCGAGAGGCCCCCTAAGAAAGCAGTGATACCACGCCCGGAGCCGGCCGTCGAGCTAGAGGAAGTTGAAGTGGACCCAGCGCAGCCAAGCAGGCGAGTGAGAATCGGAGTCGGCCTTTCGGAGAAGTTAAAGGGGGAAATCACGAGAGTACTCCAAGAGCACCGGCTGGTCTTCGCCTGGGGCCCAGAAGATATGCCCGGCGTAGATCGATCGGTCATATCGCATCGACTCGCCGTAGACCCGGAGCACCGGCCGGTCGTGCAAAAGAAGCGATATTTGGCAAACGATCGGCGGGAGTTTGTGAAGAAAGAAGTCAGCACGCTGTTAGCAGCCGGACACGTCCGTGAGGTCAAGTACCCGGAATGGTTGGCTAACGTGGTCCTTGTGCCCAAGCCCCCGACGTGGCGAATGTGTGTGGACTACACAGATCTTAACAAGGCGTGCCCAAAGGATCCGTTCCCTCTGCCCGAATCGACCAGCTAGTCGACGAGACGGCCGGGTCAGCGTTGCTCAGTTTTATGGATGCCTTCAGAGGGTACCATCAGATATTCATGCACCCGGCAGACGAGGAGAAAACCGCCTTCCTAACTCCGGACGGAGTGTATTGCTATCGGGTCATGCCATTCGGACTCAAAAATGCCGGGGCTACGTACACCCGAATGGTCGCCCGGCTATTCCACCACCTGCTAGGAAAGTCAATGGCCGCGTACGTCGACGACATGCTCGTCAAGAGTCAAGAGGAGGACAAGCACGCGGAGGATTTAGCCGACTGCTTTAAAGTAATGATAAAATATAACCTCCGACTGAACCCCAAGAAGTGTGCGTTCGCCGTCCAGGCGGTAAATTCTTGGGCTACATGGTCACCAAACGAGGCATTGAGCCTAACCCAGAGAAAGTACGAGCCATCCTCGACATGCAGCCTCCTACCACTATCAAGGACCTACAACGCTTGACCGGACGACTGGCCGCCCTCAGCCGTTTTCTGAGCAAATCGGCGGATAAGACTGTGCCTTTCTTCGAAGCCATGAAGAAGAAAGAGGGATTCGCTTGGACCGCCGAATGCCAACAGTCGTTCGAGGAATTAAAACGATATCTGTCGACTCCCCCAGTACTGTCTACCCCCCAGGAGGGCGAGCCCTTACTGTTGTACCTCGCCGCCTCGGCCAAAGCGGTAAGTTCGGTGTTGGTTCGAGAGGAGGACCGAGTCCAGCACCCGGTTTACTATGTAAGCCGCTCACTGAAAGCTGCCGAGACACGGTACACTGCCCTGGAAAAGATCGTATATGCCCTGGTGGTCACCGTTCGCAAGTTGGCGCCCTATTTCCAAGCCCATATCGTCCGGGTCCTGACGGATCAACCACTCGGGAATGTATT